TTGCTACACGCGAAACACAATTCTTAAGACACTGAAGTACAAAATCATAGCATAGCAAACTCACAAACAGGGGTAGTCTCCCCCATAGCAAAACTTGGCTGGTGGCATTCAGACGATCCATTGTGTACAGGTGCAATCTGCCACTTCCATTCAGATTTAGAACCCGCCAACATGTTGCTTTGGTACATTACCATATCGTCCAGGAATTGAGTTACTGCTCCCATAAGCTGGAGGAGCATTGCTCAAGCCGGGACAATCTTTTGCCCAGTGCCCAATTTGATGGCATTTAAAGCACTCGCCACCAGCACTTGCCCCAGGAGTCAGGTTACTGCTCCCATAAGCTGGAGGACCATTGCTCAAGCCGGGACAATCTTTTGCCCAGTGTCCAATTTGATGGCATTTAAAGCACTCACCACCAGCACTTGCCCCAAGAGTTTCCCTATTGCCATAGCTACTTCCATGAGATTGTCCCTGGCCAGTCATAACATTTGGACAATTCAAAGAACTATGACCCATACCACCACAGCTATTACAACTTGTATACATGCCAGTCAGGCCAGATGAAGCAAGAGTGGAACCACCATACTGATTAGAATATGGACGCACCTCATTTGCTGATACACCAGTTTCTCTAGCCAAGTTGCTAGTGTTTCCACTGTAATTCATAGTAGATGCAGAGGGTTCCCTATATCCAGTACCAAAACCACTGCTATTCATTCCAGAGGTTGAACCAACATTTTCACTCTTTAGAGGTAGAAAACCCAAGCCCTCTCCTTTGAACTTAGCTATTGAGTCCAGAAGATACCTGGTCTCGGTTTGATAATTTACTTTCTCTGCTTTGACTACAGTTGACTTTACACGCTGTTCGTCACTAAAAGTCTCCTCCTTCACTTTCAACTTGAAAATGTATTTTGTAAAAAGAACACTACGCATGACTTCGGCAAATTTATCATCGTCTTGTTCTTCATACTTTAAGTAATACAAATCTTTTGCCGATATAGCCATTATCTCCTCCCCACATTCCTGAAAAGCAGTCACCCATGTTAAGCCAGTGTGATCCTGAATCTGGAGCTGGAGGATATACCTATAATCACATTCATCAACCAACTGATCACATTTATCACAACGCCATTTCCCATCGCCATTATTCGTAACCTTTTTGCTGCACTGGCGATCCCCATTCATGATGGGACATGCAGTGTAGCAAAAGTTGTCCACTTTTATAAACGAAAGAGTGGCAGAGACTGTAATCCAATCAGGCTTCTCAGAAGTCCCTAATCTTTCGTCCTTAATCTGAGTTATAGTTTTCCTCACATCTGTCCGGACCATGCTCGTTGTTTCCCTGGAAATGGATACAGAAGGTGTGTGCTTCCCATCCTTTTCAAACCATACTTTGAGTTTGTGGGCCTCTGGAAAATCTGGTTCTATAAACAGCTGGCTAGTAGATATGGTTCCTACTGCTTTTCCATTAAAATCGTTCACCCTACCAGATTTGATTGCCAAAACAGGAAATACCCCAGAGTCGCACATGTTCTGAAGTGTTTGACCTTCTGCATTGCAAAAGCTTCCCCACAAGGTTAATTCAACACTTCTGCCAGATGTATCCTTCAGTTGGAGTGTTCTTTTCTGAGTTTCAGTGCCATTTTTTCTCATTATTGAGCTGGATGGGGTGATAGATGAAACTACACCAATCACATCCACAACACTGTTGTTCTCCATGCCTTCAATTTCATCTATGGAGAGAAAATGGAACTGCTGCTGCGGTATCGATTTATCATCCTCAAAGCAAGGCTGGACAGTTGAAGTACCATCAAGAAAAATTTCATGTTCATTGCGTAGGTGGTTGAAATTCTTTTGAGCAGGCTTCAATGTCCCCTTTGAGATCATATAAATTCTACCAGGTTCAATTTGGTTGTAAAATTGATCCGCCACAGCATTAAAGCATGTTACCCTTATTTCCCCACCATCTGAATCGAGAAGATCAAAAGAAAATACTTTACCATCACCTCGAGGATTGTTGTAGTGCCTGAGTTCCCCCTTTGCTGTCACCCTGGCCTTAATAGTCCACCTGCCCTGATATGGATTTAGTGCAGCAATTGGAATAATCCTTGGAGGAGCTTCATTTTTTGCTATAGGTCCTCTGTTAGCAAACATTGGAGATGGCTGCTGGTATAATGACTGAGGTGGGCGTACATAATTAGTCGCAGGAGCCCGTGAAATCCCATAACCAGATTCTGTCTTGGGATAGGTCGGAGGTGCATTAATCGAATTATATTTTCCTGAATCAGTATTGCTGGCATAGGAGTGCGAGCCTGCACTTCTGTCAATTTCAGAAGTTGGAATTCCACCAACCATGTTAGGCCTAGGAGCTGAACCAGCAACATAAGATTGAGTAATAGTTGGATTAGCTGGCTGATTCATTGGCTGAACTGAGGCTGACGATCTGGGTATAGAGAAGCCCTCCCCATCAGTCTTAAGTGGCAGTGGCCCGTAATGCTTCGGTTCGCCAATGGTATCACATTTCTCGAGTATCACATCCAGATTAATAATAATTATAATCCTGCGCAAAATTGGAGAAGAAAGTGATCAATATCCTAGTAACTGATTAAAAAAAAGTTCATATAACATACAACAATAAGAAAGTCCAAGGAATAAACCGCCTAGAAAGTATGATAACAGATTCACTTGCTCCGGGAAGTCCAGTACAACTGTAGACACCACACTGGGTAATATGAAGCAAAATCTAACTATAAAATCAGAAAACTATAATGTAAATGACTTGGTCCTTGGTCAAAAAATTACTTAACTTAAAGGCCAAGAGTCATCTCACTTTAAGAAGGAATAAATTATTCTAATGAAGCATGTGTTCATACTGCTTTACTAGATATCCCCTCAGGGCCTGTAAACTTCAGGGCCCTGTGGGATTAGTCGAGGTACACATAAGCTGGTACAAACACCCACGGTAAAAAAAAAATAATAATAATAATAATACACACACACACACACACACACATGTGTTCATACTGCTTTACTAGATATCCCCTCAGGGCCTGACTTTAAACTTCAGGACGCCGTGGGATTAGTCGAGGTGTACATAAACTAGCACTATATATATATTACTGCTTTACTAGATATATATTAGTTAAAAGCACAAGTCAAAAAGCCCGCATTAGCAGGTATCATATGTAGCATGTGAATGAAGAAAGAGACCCATCTTTTTGAGACCTGTTTCTAAGTCAAAGATGAAAAAAATTACCATAGCATCTAGAAAGGAATACATTCGCATGTAAACACAAACGTAAATACATAAATATAATGGATGAATTGTAATCACTGATCACAAACCTTGTGAAATAAGTAAAGAAAAATCTATCCAATGTCTGTTATTTCCCAGACATGTAAAGATATAATTTTGAAATACATATACCAAGTTTGTCCAATATCTACCCCACACCCTACACACACAACAGCAAAGGTAAAAAGGACACTTTGTATTTATTGCAGCAAATTCTATTGAATTTTGATGCAGTTTTCTTTACTTTTTAGATCAATAAAATCGAGTTAAAAACTTAAAGATATAATGTTTAAGACAAGTATAATCTATTTAGTCAATGGTTTCTACTACCAACCAAATGATGAGTTTGAAAGGCAAATATTAATTTAGAAACGTCTACAAATTATGATTTATCACGATTTATAATATCCCAACCAATTCCTGCCAACATGATCTGAACCCATAACTACTTCGCACTTGACTTACAAGAATATCCTAGACAATAGTTAAGTTACAATCAGGATTTCAAATTTTAGAGAATCAAAGAAATTGTGGTTCCAAATGCACTTATCGGTCATATTTTACATGAATTTCTGATAAATTATTATTTCTGGCTACACAAAAGAGTGAGAGAGAGAGAGAAACGCCAATTTCATTCAGAAAATCGCACAACACTGAATCAAACAAACAACAATCAAACAACCAATAATAGGTAGCATAATTTCGTACTCACATTCGTGTCTGGATGACATTACAGACGAACTCCGTCAACTGAACAATAGATCCCTTCTGCAATTTATCTGTTCGAACCAATTCATTTTTCTGGGTCGCCAGCATTGCCTGCTGGAGAAACAACCCGTCCGACAAAAGAATCCGATACCTCTCGTTGTTGCTATTCTGGTTCTGGGTATTGACTAGCCGAACGTCGGACACTTGCAGCACGGGCTTTATTTCGGTTGCCTGAACATCGCCTCTTGCTAGCATCGAAATTGCGCCTTCGGTTAAATTGACTGAAGACATTTTTTGATAGAAACGATTAGGGATTTCGGATTGTAAATGGATTATTTGTTTGATTTGGGGAAGACGAAAGGGGATAAAATGGAGAGTTGGAGGGAAAAATGAAACGTGAAAGCGTTTTGAAAACCCTAGGAAAGAGAGAGGCGGGATAATGGTTCCACTTCCCTCTTTTTCGGCTGAAGAAAATAATTAACAAAAATGGGAAAATAACAGATATGGTCCCCAATTCATTGAAAATGTATCATTTAGGTCCTATTTAAATTTATTTTCATATTCAGTCCCCAATCTAATTTAGAGCCTGTATGATTTGATTAAAATCTAATTTTCATCTAAATCAAATTCAAACAATCAATATTAATTATATCTTTCATAGGTTTTACAGCTTTTTAACCACACGTTTCACAAATTTTTATCACAATCTATTAAAAAATTTAATTTTAATTATAAACCAAACTCCCTCTAAATAAAAAGCCTGTTTTGTGCTGATTAAGAGAATTAATTTTTTACCGTTAGTTGAAAGGTGGGTCCCACCTATGAATGAAGTGGTAAAAGAGACTGTTAGAATGGTGAAATAACAGTCAAAAATTAATTTTTTGAGATGAAAAATTACTATCAAACGAGAACTTAATAAAGAGTCTGATTATGAGAATTAATTTTATTTACCGTTAGCCTGGAAGGCAGTTCTAACCTACAAGTGAAATGGTCAAAAATGACGATTGAATATACTGACAATGCAAAAAGTGATTTTTTTGGTTTGAAAAATCATAACCAAAAGAGTGGCAAAGCAAAATACAAGTTATCTGCTTGTCTTTTGCGGGTCTCTCGTTTGAGTGACTGGCTTTTGTTTGAAAGAAAAGCTACAAATTTTCAGTCCTCTCAAACTGAAATTCATAAATCACACACAGAACGTAAATATCCATATCCCATTCCTTGTCAACCTCAAAACTCCGATCAGCGGATAAAATCTACGGTGAGGTGGGTTAGCGGAAAAGTATCTAGAATCACACCCTTCCGTGACGTCCCTGTTCGCAAATCCTCATGGATTCCCCAGAGGAAGAGCAAAAGAAGAACGTTAACATTAGTCTTTTTTACATACTTATGCGTTCTTGCTTTCCCCTTGTCTTTTGCCTCTTTTCCTTGTTGATACTATCATTTTTCCTGCTTCAGCTAGCCGTTTTGGTTGGGAATTTGTCGATTTGGAACCCCATTTCTTTTCCCTCTCAATGCAAAATAATCTCCAGCAGTAAGTCAGCATTATTATTCGAATTCTTTTACTTTTTCTGTATTTAGTTATATATTATTTTGTTGGTTTTAATAATTTTCTGGGGTTGAGACGTTGAGTTATTGGTTTTGTTCATATTAGTATTAGTTGAAAATTGTGGAAATGTGGAAGAACATGACCTTTGGATAATTGTTAATGTTTGGTTGAAACAAATACTATTCCAATTATGTGAACTGGGATTTTTGGATTGTTTGATTGTTTTAAAAAAAGGTGCCAAAAGTCTGCAAAAAAACTTTAGAATTACAAATCCTTACTAAGAGCTTTTCAATGAAACCATTTTTCTTTTGCATGTTGTTTGTGAAAGAACAAGAATTGTGATTTGCATGTACTGATTGAGCATTGTAGAATAAGTACTTGATCAACATGAAAATTATATATATACACTAAAATAAATACAAGTTGACATTGTTTTTCTATCAATTATCACGAGGATGGTATCAGAGACCTTTGTCAGATCAAGGTCTCCTATGAAACTTGCACTCATGTATGCTTCTTTACATTCAGAGTTGAATTACTGGACTTACTTCTTGAAATATCAGTTCAATTACAAAAAATAGTTTGGGCCGCACGATGCTCTCTTGGAAAATATATGAACCCATGGTTGAAGGTAAACCTTATGTGTCGAGGTAAAACTAAGTTCTTTAAATGAGGTATAGCTAGTTTGGGATCCTTTTACTTCAAGTATATTTTGATTATAACCAGTTGCAATAGAAGGATATGTGGTTGGATGTGACTATATATTTAAGCCCTTGTTTGATTCCCATTCTTCAAAAAATTCATTTTTTCAAAATTCATTTTCAACCACACATTCTTCAATAAAATAATATTACATGCAAATTCAAAATTTTTGTTTAACCACACATTTTCCATCAATCACTATTTCAAAATGCGTTATTTCACTTGAAATGGGAATCAAACAAGGGCTAACCGGTGTGAATTTTTATTTCTATTATTTAGATGATATGTGGCACAGTGTATCATTTGATAAAAGTACCTTGTTTATTATAAAAGTAATTCCTTCTCTCTTTCATGCAATTTTAACTAGCAATAGGATTAGAAGATTTTCTTTTCTCAGATTTTTGTTCCTTTTTTTATTCACTTTAATGATATGGTCAACAAGGCCTGAAAAAATAGCATATTCATGATTTTTGTAGAAACTCTCTTACTTCAATGCCTTAGAGTAGAAGGTTTTATATTATTTGCACAAGTTCAAAAACCTAAATGCATATCTATTTGTGTAAAAATCAATATGACTTGGAGCAAATAGTTAAAATGAGTAATATAATTCAGCTTCTCATTTCATGAATTGATATCTTGTTCTTACAATTCTGTATTCTCTTACTGCCTATCAGAGGCTTATTATTATTGTCAGCCTAATGGCTCTAATATCAACTTTTGTGCAGGTGTGGACCTTAGGTCATCTAAGGTTTGTGAGCTGGGGCTGCTAAATTATAAAGCAAATTATGTGTTCTATGCATTTGAAAGTAAGAAGTATCTATGCCATTATGACTACTATTGGGCTTCTGTATTAAAGGTGATCGTTTACTTTTTACACCATGTGGATATTATGATCTGCATTTGTCAGTGAAGTTCGTTCATGAATTAGCTGAATTCAAAGAGATTTGATTCTTGGTTATGGCGATCATCTATCTTTGGTTCATAGTTACTAGATATCTCGAGTGTGAAAAGAGGGGAAATCACACATTTGCAGATATTTAACGAGTTGTGGAAGAACCAACTGTTGGCATTTATATCTAAAATTGATAGCACCTCAGAATGTTTCTAAGAACTTTCTGTGAGAAAAAGAAAGTGATGGACCACTATTAGAAGCTAATGCAATCATTTTTTTCGTTTCCTTTGCAGCTCTAGGGAAGACTTGTGTCAGAGAATTTTTTTTCTTAATTTTTTGAGTCCTTAATTGGATATTCACAATTTACTTCTTCCATCCTCTTCTAATATTGTTGTGCATGTGGCTCATATAGAGTAGAACACAAGCCCTGGATCAAATGGGCCGATGCTGGCACGGAGCGGAGTGGCGGCGTCGGCCTTGCGCGGGTTTAATTTACTGTCTGGTTGTTAGGGACGCTGAATGGGTTGGGGGCCCTCGCGGTACGGTACAAGGGTATTTTCTGTACGGGCCTTAAAGTTTTATATGGGCTCAGGCTAGGGTTAGTATAAATAATATGTTGTAACCCTATTTTTCACAACTGAATAAAGAAATCTCCACTTCGCTCTCGTGGACGTAGGCACACCGCCGAACCACGTAAAATTCTTGTGTTGATTTTCGTTTTCATCTCTTTAATATTGCGCATAAAATCCAACAAATAAATTGGTTTGAATTAGCACAGAGTTTTAGTTGAGAGTTGAAAGATTGGGTATATGATTCAATCTTTCATTTTTAGCCACTTAACTAATTGCCATGACCCTTTTTTTGACAGGTTGAATATATAGATCATTCTAGGCAAGCGAGGCTGGCAGTGGCCGAGGCTCCAAATGAAGCTCCCTCTTCTAACTGCAGACCCAATTTTGGGGCTGCATGGATGGCCAAAGATAAATTTAAGGTTAGCAATAAAGCCTAAAGTCATCGACGCAATGCGAAACAACTAGCTAGTGATGTGGGGGACAGTTTAGTTTTGAACTCGCGTCCCCATTGACTTGTGGATTCCAGAAGATGCCTTGTTTACTTCTTCCATGATATCTCTATACTTCTTACAAGTATCAAACGCCCTTATTATCTTGCTTGTTCAGGTGAATGAAATGTATGAATGCTGGTATTCTTTGGGCATTTCTAAAGTGAACATAAATCTTGATGGTTTATTTGATTGCCAAGCAAAGGAGCTCTCTACTGTTGAAAAGCTTAGACGGTATTCCATTGTGTGAGTATTAAGCAATTAAATTTTTCTTTTTATGATCATTCTTATTTTTAATTATTCAAAAGATAAATGATTATTTTCTACAACATAGCACTAGTATCACACGTTGGGATAGATTGCATAACAAAGTCGTATGAAAAGCATCATACTCACATTCTCCTAAGCCAAGCAGATGATTTTATTCGTTCTCACGTTCGTTTTGTGCGTATTTCTCATTTGCAAGCAAATTTATGAAGTTGACCCGCTGTTGTTATTCTGCACAAACATCCACCTGATTCACTATATCTTCTTACTAAAATTTACCTTGGCTTCGGCTGTATTACATTGCTCTTGGTAGATCCTACAGATACTGCCTTTGATGGGACGATCTCCTAATCTTGATCTTATAGAATTGACCATCAAATCATTTTCAAACCTCTAGAATGTCCAAAATATAACTCCACCCTCACTAAAGCTTATTTATTACGCGTTGGAGATATTCTGAACATGAAATGATATCTACAAATTACAAAAGTTACCACTGCACAGAATATACCATATAACAGATTTGAAGCTATATATTGACTCGGTGATGGTGGATCTTTTAAATGGAGGCCATGTCAAAGTCTAGCAATACTATTGAATATCTTTCTCATCAAACAATTCTTTTTGTATTAAGCCCTTGTTTGAGCCCCCGTTTTCCATCAAAATACATTCTTTAACGGTGATTTGATCCTATTTCAACTATTGCAAAATGCATTTTTTGAAAAAAATTGTAATAATTCTTGCATGTAACTTGTCTGGTGCATGGTAATTTATTACTCATTCTCGTGTCAAAAACAAAGTACTAAACATAGGTAAGAACGGATCAAATCGACTTCTTCTAAATTTTCAATTATTCTCTGTCAATAGTGTTGTGCTCGGGTTTTTGTGCCTATTTGAAGTACCCTTTTGCATTTTATGGTCTTGTTATCATATCCGTCTTATCTAAATCAGATGCTCATGACAGATTCACAAGGATATTGAAGTCGTGGTTTATGGCACGTCGTCAATTGGGCTATGGAGATGGGATGTAATAGCCGGACTTGTTACTGGATTTTCAACTTCCTTGATATCCTTTTCTTTGGTTGGATTTTTACGGCCATTGATGGCTTTTATATGTCGATTTTGTGCAGTAAGGGAACTTCCTCATTCTCCTAGTACCATCCTATTAAAGCGAGCCTGTTTATTTGCGTTATACGTCTCTATCATGAGTTGGGTCACCATTCAATATATAAAGAGGCTTGGCTTCCTCTAGATTTTATAGTTCCACTATTAGGTGGCACTCATTTTCTATTAGTGCTATTCGCCCCAATGGCTCATGATTCTGTACTTTTCTTGTTGCCGTATATTCAGTACAATAAAGTCATGAGTATAGGAAAATTTTAACAGAACTTGTATCGACACCAATGTGGCAAACATGATTGGATTGTTTTTTTCATTTTTTCCATCTTCTAATGATATCGTGCCATGTGTCGTTTGTAAGATTTTTCTATCGAAAAATTTTGTACTTGTAGCATTGTTCATATTTAATAATTGTAACATTTTTTTGCCAGTGTAAATAGCTTGTTGACTAGTATTCAACTCTCTTTCATAAGTAGAATGTGGCTTGTGACGCTTGGCAATAAGGACCGATGTAATATTTTCATCTCATATCTAATTTTTTTTAAAGTGATTTTAGGTTTTGATATCAGTGTATGATGAACTCACAAGGAACATTGTGGAGATCTTAGGTTATACTTGAATCGTTTGACTGGACTTCATTATGAGAGGAAAGACACTTCTGATATTTGTTTGACATTCTATCGTATTCTATCAAGTTGAATGTACTAAACATCTCTTACCGTTTACTTTTTGACTGTATTCTCTAAGTGGGATTCAACAAACCCGTTTTATGGGCATTATTGTGTAAAAATGATATTTTGAATGATGATTTTTTGAAAAATGATATTTTGAATGATGATTTTTTGAAAAATGTGCAGTTAAAGAGTGGAAAAAAATGTTTTGAATTTACGCGCAAAATATTTTATTATGTAAATGTATAATTATATATGAAAAATAAATTGTTTTGTTTTAAATGGAGTCAAACAAGGGCTAAACAAATTCTGCAAATTATTATGATTTTAATATGTGCCCAATGCAGGACTGGAAGTCATCAACCAAATTAAATTAATGAATCAAGATCCATCAAAATATATCACATAACAAACAAAATGGGAAGAAACAAGTGATAGAAACAACAAAGTAAATTCGATTTATGCTTAATCCACAATCAAAAGAAAAAATATAACTGTAGAACATTGAATATTTTGTAGCAAATTCGATTTATGCTTTTAATCCACAATCAAAAGAAAAAATATAACTGTAGAACATTGAATATTTTGTAGCAGTTATAAACGTCAGATATACTAGTAAAGCTCTGCAGTTAGTTTCAAAGCCATCCAACTTTCAAGTGAACTGAGTACATCATCAAAAGTTCTAAAAATAGAAGATAAGTTTTCTAACACTAAACATCAGTTAGTATATATTGCATCATAAGTGAAGGAAATACACAGCAAATGTTTCCATCATTAAAATGTTTAGAAATCATCTTCTTCCTGCACATCATCTGCAGCTAAAAGATGATTAAGAGCAACCTTCGACTTCTTGGTCTCAGGTTGGTTATCCTTGATATCCTCTATATCACCTTTTCTTTTCACTAATTCATCTTCACCCTCTTCAGCTTCTTCATCTCCACGCGAAGCAGCCTCACCATCAGATCCTTCTATTTTTTCCTTTTGCGGTGACTTCGGTTCAGCCTTTTCATCTTTTTCTAGACCATCGATAACTGGTTTACCAGATACAGTTCTACATTCAGCTAAAAATGAGCACACTTCTTCACTGCTTGCAAGATCAAAAGGGGTTTTCCCAGCCTTATTCTTGGATTCCGTATTTGCACCTTTCTTCACTAAATACTTGACAATTTCGAGGTGAGACCCTTGAGCAGCAAAGTGAAGAGCAGTCATGCCCTTTCTGTTAAAGGATTTGACGGAAATTCCAGCTGTATGAAGAATCTTGATTACTTCCAGATGGCCCTTTTGAGCAGCAAAGTGAATTGCACCCATGTCATCCATGGCAGCAGCACCTATGTCTGCCTTATTCTTGCACAGAAAATTTACCACCTCTGCATGCCCAGACCATGCGGCTAGATGTAATCTGTGGTTCAATATCATTTAAGGAAAAGAGACAGTGCAAAAAAACGAGTATCAAAATACCTCAACATGAGAAATTATAAAAGAACTCAAAGTGGATCTTTGGCATGGAGTGCTGGACACTATAGTCCATTGGACTGTACGACAAAAAATAATAACCTTTTTTTCTTTCTTTAATACCGTCCACTAGTGTCCACTCCACCTTCCCAACAAACCATCACATCCTGCATTAACAAATTGCAAATTAACGCTCTCACACTCCTAAAACAATTTCCTAATGATTCTAGCCTCCAGGGAACTAATGACTGTCTTCATGCTCCGAATGTAAAGAAAGTTCAAATCCAACCTACTTTAACTAGAATGATAAAAACCTGCATTTTTTGTTTCTCTTTGTTGATGGGAATTGACAAAATTCATGAATTAATTGAAATGTTAAGGCAATAAATTCATTTTACAAGCCGGCTGAAATGGAGGTATGCAAAAGCACACCATCAAGGGAGAATTCCCCTGCTTGGTACTAATACGACAATGGAAGTCTATCTTCAAATACTACAATACTTACATAGGTGAACAGGTGTTTGATTGTTTGAAAAGAGGCCAACATCGATAAAGAATGAAATTTGTAAACTTATATGATTTCACTCTTTAAGTTACATTTAGAAGAATACTCTAGGCTACTTACTGTTTTAGAGCCTACTCACACCATACAAAGTGGTGTATTAGGCGCTTTAGAGGCACACTTTGCATTTCCCATGTACACACCATTGTCGTGAGCTTTTTTGAAATTATATAGCAGCGATGTGGCATCAGGTGGCAAAGGGTGCACATGTGATGATGTAGCAAGTAGCACCGGGTGCCTTTGGTGTCCATCTCATTAGGAAGTGGGGTCTCAACAATCACTAGCCAATAGGTTTTCCTAACCTGCACCTATGTGGAGATTCAATTTTCCTACTGACAAGACACAACTAGTCTGGTCCATTCACTGAATGCAATTGATCCAGTGTGCGGGTCAATGCAAGAGAGTTGTGGACCATCACAGCAGGATGCAATCTGAACAGTCAACTTGCATTCATTCAGGCCTTATCAATTATCAAATATTTATTGAATTGGATTCAACCTTGGCTAGATGCTATAGAGCACAGGTGGCTCCTGGAGGGCTCAGCTTATACTAACCAATTACCTCTTGTCAATAAAACATCTCAATACTTGTCTTTCTCACACTTACAGTGAGAAAAATATGGCGGCAGATAATCAAGCCAATATAAGGGTCTCCATTAGGAAGTACAAGGAGTTTCGTGCCAGTGATCTTTCTGTGGAATTAAGCTGTCTAGCCACATTTTCTAAACTCATTTTTCCTCAAATTCATTTTCAACCACATATTCTCTCAATAAAATAATTTTGCAAATGAACTTATAACTTTCCCTCCTTTTTAACCACACATTCTCCAACAAATTACTTTTCACAAAATCTATTTTCAAAAAATCTCTAATCAAATAGGGGCAGAAAAGCATTATTTGGTTAGAAGCACAAGACATAACTTATTTGTATTGACAAGTTTAAAGCCAATTTTAATAAAGCTGGCTTATATTCTTCTAATTTTTCTAGCTTTTTATTTCAGCTTCTTTTGTAACGGAAGCAGTACTCCAATTTTTTTGGCTTTTAATCTTCACTGTTTTGTTTGTATAATTACTCTCTTTCTTCCTCGAGGTTTTCATTTTATCTCACCATTTTGTTCATTTTCAACACGTTTTATCATTTCATGTTATTTATAGAGCAAGTACAGCACATGGAACTCTTAAGATTATTCACCAGGTCGAAGAAGCATGTAGCACACAAGACTCAAATGCATAGTTGGGTGAGGCAAAAAATGACCCCAAAAAATTTCAGGATTATTATGCTTTTTCCTCTTCATATTTATTAACAGCAATAAAAAATCCCCGGACAGAAAGATATGTTCAAAATCAAAACTGCTTATGTCAATTAGAGGACATTAGCTTCTGGCAGCCTAAGGTGCCCATTAAAAAATAAATACAAAGAGGAATTTCGAAAACAGTAAATCAAATTCCCAGTTCAAGACTTCCAATTCATCAACAGAGACACACATAATTATCACGCTCGTTAAAAGCAAAAAAAAAAAAAGGAATAATAAACCGAAGGATACGGTGTACGGGAGTGCTTGTCACGGGAGTTTACGGCTAGAGGATTCGTACTGCAAATTGTCTGCACGGCCTTCAGGTCCCCCGATCGAGCTGCTGCGTGCAGCTCTTCACTCGTAGAATTAGCATTCACCGATGGTCTTTTGGGATTTCCCATCCTTATGCGCGGAATTTGGTTTAGGAAATGAACGAAGAGAAATGGAATGATACTGCGGTTTGGGGTTCTGAGTGTCTCAAGGAAGAACTGAACTGCGACTGTCGGTAAATACAACGACTTATGGACAAAAGTGCTTGCTTCATTTATGCGATTTCAGAAACCTGGACGCACGAAACTGTACAAATTAGTTTTTTGGGTGTCGTTCAATTGAAGTTTCATGGATCGAGTTAGGGGAGCATAATAGTTGATATATAGGATGACTGAATACACACATTTAGGAGTTGAGCATTATTTAAGTCACATGGGACTTGCACACTTTGTGAGGTCAGTCACCCTGCGTGTCAAATATTTTCGGAAACCTGGACGCACGAAACTGTACAAATTAGTTTTTTGGGTGTGGTTCAATTGAAGTTTCATGGATCGAGTTAGGGGAACATAATAGTTGATATATAGGATGACTGAATACACACATTTCAGGGGTTGAGCATTATTTAAGTCACGTGGGACTTGCACACTTTGTGAGGTCGGTCACCCTGCGTGGCAAACATTTTCGGACAAAGTAGTATTTTCCAACTTTGATAGGGCTTGTTTGTTTGAGCCCATTTTTTAGGATATCGGATTTAGCAAAGTAATGATATTTAACATCATTGATATTAAAATATGAGTTTAGATGTCACTAAAGTATATTAAATAAGAGTTATAATAAAATGAATCACTTAAATAAGATTTTATTGAGTTTATCATTTAACGTCACGTAGGAACATTTCCAAAATACTCTTTATTGTTATAAAATATTCTATCATTTGGAGAGTATCTAAAAATTTAGAAAATTAAAATTTTGAGTACTCCAGTAAGCTTTTTATATTTAATATTTAATTTTACTACTCTTAAAAAATATTTATTATTTTTCTCTATATTTTATTTTAACTAGTATTTTCCTAAATTATTTTATTATTTTTCTACATTGAAAATTGAAACATTTTCAATGCATTTAATTATAGAAAACGTGTCACTCTTTAAATTAAAATGTTATTTTAAAGAGTTTTTTTAAGTATAATTTTAAGAGTTGACTCTTTAAAATACAAAACATCTAATGTTTAAAGACAAGAATACTCTAAATTGGTATTTTAACACTGCTGATACTAGATAGTATTATTCAATTTAGTAATAGAGATTTTTTCTAGAAAATGTAACTAAAAAGTTGGGAAAGTTTTGATTTACGTATTAAATTATTTTTATTGAAAATATATGTGGTTGAAAATAATTTAATAGAAAAACGAGTTTGTTAAAGTTTCTGTTCAATCAGTCAATGATCGGTTGTAGAAATCAAGTGATTAGTTGCAAAAGTCAAGTCATTCCACCAATTGTGCTACAGCCAAGGATTATATAGCAGAGCCTAGTTTCTTTCCTTATTGTTCTGAATCCAATTCAAACGTTAGGCATTAGCTTATCGTATTCCTACAACCTTGGTTACATGTAATACTCTATTTATTGAAAATATATAGAATCACTCTATGTGAAAAAAGCCACACAATTCAAACATTGTTTTATATCTTTTATGTCTACTTTATTTCTTTACATGGTATCAGCTGGTAAAAAGGAACACACCTGGTGTTGGAAAAATTATCGCCATCGGGGTTGGAGAAGAAACGATATAGAAGTGACATCAAGAAGATGAAATAAATGTGAAGAACAAATCGAATATGAAAGGCTCAAACACGACATTATATCGTTGTCTTCAAACGATATTTGCCCTCTCTCGTATATAATTTTGGTGCTTAAAGGGTTTCGCGGCAAATGGTTTGAAGGAGTGATCAAGCCTTGTAGAGAATTAATACTTAAACACTTGTATAAATTCTCTAAACTTGAAGAACACAAAGGAAATATGAATATAGATGAAGAAAACTTTGATTTCTTCTTTGTGGAATGAATATATCGATCATGATGTTTTCAAGTATTTTTCTTGTTATTCTAATGATCACAAGCCACTAATTTATAACTATGGAACATAGCTTCACGAAGTGGTACCAAAAAGAAGTGAAAAGCTGCCAACAAACCAACTAAAAATCGCCGAAAAAACTGCCCAATGGCTAATTCGTTGTACCATGCGACCGCATGGTATAACTCCATTCGGTCGCATGGAGTTCTTCAAGCTAGCCTCTCCAGTTTCGGGTTGTGGCCATGCGGTTTCGGGTTGTATATTGCTATGCGGTCGCATGTAATTCATCTTGGGCCTCTGGTTTTATATTTATGTTCCAATTTTGTTCATTCCATTCCACACACGTGTTTATTAATTTTGAACAACATATTTTCAACAATACCCCACTTGTTCAAAATTTCAATAAACTCTCATATTCAAAGTATACAATACTCATGCGTAAGGATTAGATATCTTTCGATTTGAATCTAACCATAATATAATTCCAACAAAGTATAGTCGGAGTCAAAGGTAGCGTGAGGCTTTGAACCAATTGTTCCATGTGACAATACCGGTAAGAATACACACACGAGTATTATGTGTTCTTAAGTTCCTCATAACTCGCTTAGCGCTAATATGGTTCTTGCGCTTATTCTTTTCAACAATCTTTTAAGAGAGAAACTCCAACTCTCTATTAAGGTGGCACCACCTTGAAGACTGCTTAAGTGAAGTTCTTCCAGTGCCTTTGTTACTTTTAGAAGTACTTGTGTTTTAGCACTGAATTTCATTAAGAGCTTTCATGTTCAACCCTCACTTCAGTAACAACCAGCATTAATTTAATTAGGACATGATTATTGTGGATTTATATAATGCTGCAACCATCCACATATCGAATGATTTGTTGTTACCATTTGAACCCGTGGATTACCTTTTGAGTAATGACAGGTGGGTTGCCATCATCGGTGGACCTTTATATTTTAGGAGTTTCAACCCTATCCTACTCGAAGTAGATGCCACTAAAAATCTATTTAGTAGTTTAAAGTATCCGCTATGTCTTTATGGAAATCATTCCATCTTTGATAATTTTCTTATTAAGTCACGTCTGAGACTTATATGTCTAGACATCCATCATATGTGACTTAGTATTCTTATCAAACATAGCTAGCCAATGATTCATTTGATAGATACAACTTGTCACCGTCAAGAAATCTTTTATGAAGCCACATGCTTCTCACTTGCTTTATTTAAAATTTATAGATTTCAAACACAGTTGAAACTTTTTTATTTAAATCATTACACTTAGTCAATTACTTTTGTGGATTTTATTCGTGGATATTCATTTCTCATCATTGAGTCATTACAATGATTTTCAATAGCATGAATATTCTCTAAATATTCAAATTGTTTTGCAAACGCCATAATCGGCTTTCACCCAAATTATTCACCTTAGACTTAGTGTATCCAACCTTATAATTATATATAAGGGTTTTCCATATCTTCTCCTTCGTAGATATATTTCTATGATTAAAAAGTTAAGGGAATTTTAACTTATTAAGTTACCCCCACAATTTCTTAATTTGGAATTCTTATGTAATTTGTTAATATTGCATCCACAAGTTTTCGAACTTCTCATATGAGTTCTCAACCATTAAATTTAACCCCCACATTTCAGGCTATACTCGAACTTAGAGTTCCTTAATATGTCAACCCCACATTTGGTATTGTAATTGAACTTAGAGTTCATCAATATGTCAACCCCACATTTGGGATTGTAATTGAACTTAGAGTATATTAACTCTTTCATAGTTCATTCACTTATCACTTTGATAATACCTATGAAAGTTTAAGTATCTCAGTTAATGATTGTTAAGTCACAAAGTGCTTCAATCCACTATCTTTGATTTGATCATTCAATTTGATCAAGGTCATCTCGTAGATCATTAATGCTTTTCAAGCATAAATTAACTCGATTGGTTCCTCAATTGAAATCAAATTCAATTAATGAATAAGGTGTAAATCTCATATTCCAATAGAAGAAGTAGTCATGAAATTTCATGTACTTTCAACAAATAGTAGGCATCCTTTAGACCCATTAAATATTAATAGGCTGGTCTCAAAACACAAATATAGATGTGCTTTACTTGCACTTTGGAGTCCATAAGCCAACATAATGGCAAATACACCCTGCAATAAATGATGCCCTACAAAAACATGTGGGCCACCCAAGTGGGTTTGTGTATAATCCAAGCAAATGTAAATTGGTTTGAATTGCATTCTTTAATATTCATGCACGTGAGTCATTCCAATTGTCACAACAAAGTAAGAACAACCAATTTGTTTTAATTTTACATGTAATAACATTCATCAAGATGAAGTAATCCATATGTAGTTTTCCATTTTTTAGTAGAAGAAATGGTCATGAAAGTTCACATAATTTCTTTTATAAAATTCTAACTCTTTAGAATTTTTCCATATGAGCAATATCATGTCATTCTCACATCTCAACAAAGAAATGGAGATTCATATACTTTCAACAATTTTGCATGTATAATGTCAATTAAAATGTACCAAAGAACCAAACCAAATTTAAATAAAATCTGTCATTTGATTTATGTATTTCCCATATTTTCATACATGCAATCATTATGCATAACCAAATTCTCATGATTCCTTTCATCATTTCTAACAAACAACTTTCCTATAAAGGAAGTGCAAAATTTTGGAAATGATGTGTCATGAGTATAAAATCCACATTCAATCTGATTTTTTAAGTGTGTTCATGTAATATATCACATGCATAACAAATTAATCATTAAACAATCATCATGCCGAGTAGATCTCGTTTCTATCACAATTGCATGGAACCATATGCACCCTTTCAAAATAAGACAACTATCTTGGACAGACACATGCTGGGTTAGCCATTTCAGAAATTAATAAATTAATCTTTAACCGTCATGCATTTCATGCAGAGGATTCAACAAAATGGCAATTTTAATTCTTCCAAAATTAAACCGTGTGTAATTCCAGATTTTTATGCACAACGAACACAAAATATAACACCGATGTTTTGCACATTATATTCACGTACCGTATATATGAGTAAAATCGAAACACAATTTCGACTTACCGAATAAGGCGAAATGATGATTACCGAACCTGAAAACATGAACCGAATCTGAACCATGAATCTAGATTCATT